ATTCCTTCTTTCTAGTACATGGCATGCAAGTATTATTATGGGGAGAATAGTTTATGATCCACGAAGTCACAATTATTGTTTGCAATGAGCCAATCATCTTTCAGCCCACTCTTTGAAATGCAATATCTTAGAAGTTAAAGCGCTGTTATTTTCCTAGCAACGATGTGCTGATGTCTAGACTGAAGACTGAACCGCAGATATGTTCCTTAAGGAATTAGAGGAATCTATGGAACTAATAAACAATAGCTGCACATTTGCTGCATTCCAAATTAGTATTCTGGGAAATACTAATACATATTTCATATGGTGTATCTATTCCATCACGGTACAATCATTTTATAAAGTACTGAATAATTAAATGGAGTGCTCACTATTTGTTGATAATTTCTTTTAAAAAGATTATTCCTGTTCTTAATGTATATATCTCAGGCACCCACAACTCTGGCCACATCTAGCTCAACCTTTGACTACTGTACTTATTCTTACTCAATTTATGGTCATTGGCTCTGCTGAATATAAAATATATTAATCAATGATCTGCAGACCGAAGGGAAAAAAAAAAGGTAAGCAATACGAATAGTTGCTCAGAGGGAACACAAAAGATTCTAGGTACATCTTAAAAAAAAACAACAGAAACACTGCTTTAAATTCTAGGAATTCCTTTCATTTCCATGTATTGCAACAAAAGTAGTGATAACAAATTATCTATGTGATTAGCATGAGTCAACACAAGAGCACTGGCATTTTAAATGTTCTGTGTTTAGCATGTCCGTTTCATAGAAGAAAATAGTAAAGCCTTTAAAATTGTGTTTTCCTGTTGTTTCATAAGTCTTGGTTTTCCAGTAATTAACATCAGAAGTTCATTGTTCCTGCTCATCACTAGTTGCCTTTCTGGGTGATGAGATAGCTATAAACAAAATCATGCTCCCCCCCCCCCAAGATTATGAGAAAAGAAAAGGCCATCTAAAAATAATAATAAAAAAAATAGAGCTAGAGCTAGGAGATTGTAATTAATATGCTTGGGTGAATTTTCAAAGAGATGGTTCATAGGCTGTAACAAGCATAGCAGTGATAATAAAAGAGTCCTTTTCTTGAACTCTTCATGAAGAAAACATTAGTAGCTCTCATTAGGAAAGTGTGACTCCTTGTTTGCCTTACTTTAGACAATGCATAATCTCTGTCAAAGTTAGCTAGGCTGAGGGGAAAGCAAGGATGAAGAACTGTCCTTTGTATGGTCTGTGGTAAAAATCTCTCTCAAACCACCCTTTTGACTTCATAGGGAAAATTCAAAATCCAGAAATGAATCAGGACACCACGTCTGCAAGGGTGGAGCAAGGGGCTCAGAATGTTGAAAACTTCATTGTGCTGTCACAGTGCAAGCCCTTCCCCTTTCATATGTGTGTCATGATGTCACCAGCATGTATAAAAAGAGTAGAGTTTATGGCATGCGAGTGTGATGCAACTTTTGTCATTTTGATGTCCTATGGTATTCCTAACCTATATGTAGGACTAAGACTTTTTTTTTTTTTTTAAGCTTCTGTGTACTGAACGCATTTTCAAAAATCATGGATGAACAGACTGAGAAAAAGAGGAGTGGGAGAATAATTTTCTCTGAAGACTGAAGGGGAGCCAGAAGGAGAGCAGGGGAAAATGGTGAAGCAGAGAAAGAAAAGATTGACAGCAAAAGAGAAATAAGAGGTAGAAGAAAGAAAAAAGGTGATGCATATAGACAGGCTAAATTCACATAGCATGCTAATCCCTAAACTCAGGTTAAATGCACGATTGCTGGGTACTAATATGCTATGCCTAAACAAATAAAAAACAAAGAGTTAACTTGATGGCCACAATAGTTTGGTTCACACAACATGCTAAACAATAGCAGGATTCCCAGAACAAATTGAACCACAAACCACTAAAAGTTATAATAGGCCTAGTGTAGCAAATTACCTGAACCCACACTGCCTCTATTCTCTGTGTTGCAAAGGTGCATAATTAGAGGATCCTCACTTTGGACTGGGCACTAACCTCTTGAAAAGCACTGTGTTTAAAGTAAAGTCCACAATCTACCTCAACTGATTTTGCACCTTTCCTATCTTAATTCCCAAGACAAAAAACAAAGAAAGTACTATTTTGGAGAAGCAGGAGGTGGCCAGCGATTTCTTCATGGAAATGTTGGCAAGTGCTATCCCTTCTCTGCACTAAAAGTTTTAGTTCTAAGTGGGTTGGGTTTGCAGGGTAGTTGACAAAAGCAAAAAACTGGTGCATTTCCAGTTATTGATCCTAAACTTGATAACCTCATTTTATTTCCAGGTAAAGCATCACCTGACTACATTCCTAGTGAGGGAAAACTCTTTCGCCTTCCAAAATATAATTCCAAGTTAGTGATGCAATTTTTAGAATTCAGTTTTCCCCAACCTAGTTTTCTTCAGCTATGCTGAAGCAACAACTCTCAAGGTTGAGAAAGTTGGAATTAATACGTCTAAATGGTACCAGGTTGGATAAGATTGTTCAAATTAGTTAATTTATTAAGTTGACTGTTTTATATTTTCAATTTCAGTGAGATTGTGAAACAGGAACTTGAGCTGAATCAGGTATTGGCTGCAGCTGTCAGCAACACTCCCCCTCAAACCAATTATCAGCCCCAAACATTGGTCTGCCCAAATGATGAAAGGAGAGTTAAAGAAAGAATATCTTGAACAATTTGGCCAGCCAAATCACAGGAAAAAAAACCCAAGGCAGATCTCTCCATTGATATCAGAGGCTTAGTAAATGGATTTAAGTGTTTTCTTAGATTTAGAGTTACACTTTCAGTGATAGTTCCTGACTTGGAAGGAAAGGACATAATTATTTTCAAATACTAACAATACTGTAATCCTGTTTATCACTACTGATGTTGCTTTTTTTATTAATGAGGCTGGACAACTGTCTGCATTCCTTCTTTACTTGAGGTGGCATGTATACAATTCATATGTAGATGTATGCTTAAAAAGCTGCCCACGAACTTCAGCTTCATCCTTAGCTAGATCTAAAGGACCAGCAAGAAGGCTATTTTTCTCATCAAGTATTCCTATCATCTTAATTATAACTAATTGAGTTATGCATGCTCTTATGAAATAACGCATACAAATTTGGCTCAATGCAAGAATAATAAATGCAATATTCATGAAGTAGGCCATTTCTATTAATATTTTATAGGAGCTCTTTGTATAAAGTCCCATTAATATTCAGAGGAAAACAAGCAGAAAAAAGACAGCAAAGAAAAAAAACAAGGTGCAAGAGAGCACTGACAAAAAACAACCCGGTGATCTAGATGTTAAGCCTTAAATATAAATACCGTAAAGACATTTGCTGAGCTCTTTCTACTTATCTCTAGACCAGTTCCATTTTTTGGAATTTGTGTTTCTAAAATGGACCAAGCAATTCCTAGAACTAACAAAGGAACCTTTCTATTTTCTGGCATCTACTAACTGCTTTTTTACTCTGTGTTAAGAGGCCTTACCTTTTTAATTCCATATTCAAAAGCCTTTTGTGCTAGTCTGCCAGGTCCCTCAACTGTTTTCCCGTCATCATTTGGACCCCAGCTAGCACTGTAAATATCCACATGATCAGGACTGAACCCAATTGAACTAGCTTCGATGGCGTCTGTGACTATGCCATCCAGCATTCTGATCCCTTCATGAAAAAGAGAGAGAAAAAACCCAGTCAGTCATTATTTTGTGTTTTCTCTGCACTGCCATTACAAAATATTGCTTGTCACTATGTAAACTGAAGCATTTTGTCCACTTTTATAAACTGCAAGGAGTTGATGATAGAGGACTGGATTGGATATAGGTGATTCAATATTTTTTACTCTGGCTTGAGAACCAGTTGTTTCAAAAGAGGTGAACTAGGAAAACAAAATCAGATTTGAAAATAAGCTATTTGATCACTTGTACACTAGTAGAAGAGACAGGAAGGATGATAGCGTGGGAGAATTCAGTGTAGCACCTGGCATATTTTTCTACAGTATGCCATTGGTGGTTTTCCATTTTTGGTCGTTCCTAAAAAGGGAGTAGGTTTCTCCCCTCACCCCCACCCCGCAACTCTAAAGTGCACTCCTGCTTCATAATTTTCAGTTAATCACCAAAAGGTCTGCATACAACTTTAATATGAAATATATTAATATGAAAGACATTATCTTTCCCAAAAGACTATTTAATGATGGAATTCCACACCTAGACTATTCGAAAATTTGACTGATGAGAAAATGGCTTTCTCTTTAGAGCAGTGTTTCTCAACCTTGGCAACTTTAAGATGTGTGGACTTCAACTCCCAGTTTGCTAGCTGGGGAATTCTGGGTGTTGAGGTCCACAAGTCTTAAAGTTTTCAAGGTTGAGCAACACTGCTTTAGAGGTTAGATTATTCGTGATGAGGTATCTATCATTTATTTATTTGAAAAACAAAATAAAAACAATAAAATGAGGGGATTACCTTTAGAACTTTTAAAAATCTACACTAAGCTCAATTAACTAATGGATATATACATACAAGCATGCGTACATATTCTTGCTGAGTTGGTTATTACATTGACTTTCCATTTCTTTTAAAAAAACCCTTCCCCTTCAAAATAATCTTATTTAAAGAATAAAAAACCCTTTCCATTAGTAACCCACATTTGGAATTTAGAAAACTAAAAGCTTATGTTTTCCATCAGAGGTAAAGGAAAACTAAATGTACGTCCTGGAAGTTGCAATGCTTGCATGCAACAGTAGCAGCTTGAATGCACAGTGAGGCCGTTACCTGCTTGCTTCAACATGCATTGACAAAAATAATAAAATAATAATAAATAATAACTGAGTTTTAGCCCACATTTGTAGGTCATATGAAAAAGTATATAGTAGCAGCCTAGTCAGCCACTGATGTTCAGGGACTGCAGTACTTAATGAATGTATTATTTTCAATGTTCTGTTGAACTTCATTAGACTGCAGCAATGAATAACCCTTTCAGCCTTTTGTATGATTAGAATGTATAATAGAAACAGAAAGCCTCTCGTCATTTCTTCTGTCCCTGCTACTCAAATTAATATTCCTCTCCACTAGCATTTCAAACAGACCTCTGAATACTCTAATGAAGAAAAAGACTGCTAAATAGAATTACTGTTTATATTTCTTACCTCCAACTTTGGAATTGTATGCCACTCCAACTCCACATTTTAGGTTGTTTGCTTGCATGGCAATCTCTCCTGCACATCGTGTTCCATGTCTGCAACAAAATCATCCACTTTATACAGGTCATCTTCAAACCTTATTATGTAATTATTATTCATTTGAGTATATGAAACTCAATTGGAGCCAAAAGGAACTAGAGTGCCCTGTTGTGTGTGCCCTGTTCACACAACATGATCATCTGTGTTGTGGGAGAAGATTAGAGTGTTACATGAATACCATAATCCAGTTAATTAACCCCCACAAGAAATGTGTATTTGTTTGGGGCTAAACTACCCCCCCTCATCAACCATGTCTTTCTACTTATTGCAGAATTAACCAGTTTTGAAGGAGACAAAGTTCTAGAGGTACCCCATAAAAATGAGACTTCTCTAGGAACACTGTCTCTGTTTTCTTTTTACTCATCTGCTGCAGTGGCTGGGTGGTTAAGAAAGGGGGCAAACAGAGTTAGTGAGGTAAAGCTACCCTGATTCTGTCCATTCTGTGCCACCATGGATTTTTCTTTGATCTTTCTTTTCTTAAAAATTACCACTAAGAAATGATAGAAATTCTGGTCTCCATTGCACTGACTGGACTGAAAAAATGGTCAATGCATGACCAACCCAATCATCTTGGAATATGTTCTACTGCACACAAAGTTGGGAAGATAGGGATAAGCAAGTCAGTCACCCTAATTATTAAATCATTGTGAGTGACGGTGGAACACAGAACAGTTTTGGTCAAGCTGATGTCATTCTGATGTGTTGGAACTACAACTCCAAGAATTCTCCAGTGAGTATGCCTATTGTTTTCCCAACACATCTGATGATTTTATGAATTAATTTCAAGAATAAACTCAATTTTCAAGAGACCAATGAAAATGTATAGCTTTAAAGAACATCAGATATCAAGTAATCTATTAAGGAATGATTAGATTTAAGTGTACAGTTCGTCCTTTTTATTTTCACAGTCTAAATAGTAAAATATTTTCTATTCCACATTCCAGAAACCCTTCACCTTCATTGCATCAAATGATAGTCCTCTTGTGAAAAGCTGCCTTATTTAATAGTATTGCTTTGTATGCACTGAAGTTGTTGAATGCTGCCAGTTTGAATTCTGTTTACATATATCAGAAACAGTAGATGTTGTGCAGAGATGGTAGAGTTGAGATAATTTAAATCAGTGGATAATGGTCAATTATTGCCAATAACTGCTCTAGCTAAGCAGAATGATACATTTTGAAAAACCTGGAAACATTCATCTTTTGAAAACCTTTCGCTGTCATAATATTTTTTTCTGTTACAACAGAATTCGCATAATGAATTCAGTATTATTTGGCTCAAATAGGTGTTAGTGAACCTTATTGTATCATAACAAAACATCCCATCCTAATTGTCTTGGCAAGTGTTACATGTTTAGGATTCGACACCTGAAATGAACTGCTGGGCTGATCCTCTGCTTCTCAAACCAGCACGTCACCCTTAATCTGTAGACTCACTCTCATGTAACACAGTTCACATGACGGAGTAGGCCATACTTACTTGCCTCAGTAGGCTGCAGCTAGGCAATGAACACACTCCCTGTCAAGAAGTGTTTAGCTGAACATTTGCTTTTACATTGGTCCACAAAACGAGACATAGAAGGCATATACAGTATATAAATATCAATGCAGTCCTCTACTAAAAACTCAGTCCCCATTCTGTTCAGTATGCTTACTCCCAGGTAGATGTGCACTGGTCTCACAATCTTTATTTCAGGAGTGTCTATGGGGTGGTGGTGGTCAAAATAGTCAAGATGGCAGCCTGATCACACAGTTGAAGCCCCATCCACATAGGCAACACGTTTAAAAAGGGCAAGGCTTTGATTGCACAATTTCAGCAAGGTGTTTGCTTTAATTGATTGAAAAGTAATTTTCTCTTCCAGAAAACTCTTGAATATTATAGTTCACTGAAATAGATTGGGATCTCTAACAATATCTTTTGCACTGTAGGAAACCAAATTCCTTCCATGGTACAGTGAATGGAATGAAATGAATGTGGTTTGCTGATAGAGTGATATTGAATCTTGAGCAAACTCTACATCATAAAGTTGGGGAAAATCAACAAGCTGTTAGTCTAACATCAGTCTCTCCTAGTTACTTCAGCTCCATGTAGATCAGCCTCTGCAGACTTTGTATTCTTTTACCACACAGAGAACAGGTGTAAATTCCAGGCCTGCTTAAGTATCAATCATTCCATATGATTCAGGCAAGAGTGTCATGAACACATCATTCACAGAGTCACTAAGCAACATCACGCAGACCACATTTTATCCATATGACAATTGGTCGGATACAAGTGCCATAGCAGAATTAACTTAGGGAGTTATTGGGATTGTGTCATCCGTTGGAAATTGGAATATGTGTGTTTATACACACAGACACACACAAACAGAAAAATGTATCACAGGAATTGAAGGTTTAAATGTTGTGACTGCTACAGAGTATAGGCAGTTGATTTTCATGCTGTTTCATCTAAAACATAGTCAATCCAGCATCTGAATAAGGCCTGATTGGTTCAAATTAGTTATCTATATAATGAAGTTGTCATGCACTTCAATGAATTATAGAATCTCAAAAGTTAGGCTTATGTGTTGACTGCATAAATGACATTTGAATATCAATCTGGCCTTCACTGACATTTCCCATTCAACACTAAGACTACTAGACAACACTAAGCAATGGACAATCTCACAAACCACATCTACATGAGGACAAAACTAGATGAAACAAGAGAGATCTTGTCTCACAGTGGTGAGAGCATGGAAAACCAGTATGGATATGCATCTTCTCTTCGTCTAGCAAATAAAAGTATTTTAGGGGGCAATCCTGAGCAAGGGAAATTCGTAAAAAGAAAGAAGTCCTGCCCCATCAGTATATAATTGTGATGTAGTCTGGGGGCTCTGCAGCAAAAGATGACAATACCAACTCCATGGTCTAGAATTAGTTTTGTCTGCTACTGTTTCTTATAGTTTAGTCCATCTAGATAACATAAAGTGACAGTGAATATCACTGAAAATCACCCAGTAATTCCAGAAACAACTAGCAATGTATATCAAAGAGAGTATTAACAGCAGGTAGTCACTCACTTGTTTTCATTTGTAGGATCATATCTGGGAAATGGATCATGATCATTGTCATTGAAATCATAACTTGCATCAGGATCCTAAATGTAAACCAAGAAAATAACTCTTCTAACAGCTGTGAACAAATTGCTGAAGCAATAGAGATAGGAATATACAAAGAATCATACTAAACCAGAATGGAGACTTATGTAGTCCAGCTTTCTGTTCCTATAGTGGTCAATACAGTGTCTCTCTGGGATGCCAACAGTTGCGCATAAATGCAGTAATACCATTGCTTGTCCATCACCTGGTATTAATAGCAGTGCTCTCCTTTTTAAAACTCATAAATAGTTCATGTTTTATTGGGTTATTTGTCATATTTGAATTTCTCTACCCAGTTATCATGCAGCATGTGATTTTAACCCTTTTTGATTCTCCCCAGAGTCTTCAAATTAGGCTGATAAAGAATTCACTTGAAGTCACCCTATCACCTTTATTGTTGAATAGGAATATTTTCAAACTCCAAGAATCTAGTCATGAGACTGGAAAATGAAAAAAATAATGATTGCTACTGAAATATTAAACTCACATAGTTAAAGTAAATGTCTGTGTGATTCCACTCCAAGCCGTCATCAAGCACTGTTATGACAACCCCTTTGCCTGTAATGCCCTTTTGCCATACCGGGAGAACATGGAGATCCAATTTGCGCAAAGATGGGTTCATTCTTGTATCTTGCTAGGAGAAATAAAAGACAATTTATTTATTTATTTGGACAAATGTTATTAACTTGCTTTGTGTATGTCACATGATAAAAATCAATTAGTTTTCTTACACATACTGGACTCTTCTCCAGTCTCTTTGAATGAATGAATGAATGAATGAATGAATGAATGAATGAATGAATGAATGAATGAATGATAGCCCACTTGCTCCTGCATAGCTTCTGTTTATTTAATATTACCATCAACAAAAGCCATTTGTCCATGCCATTTTAAATATTGCTTGCAGAGAGACACTATTTAATGAACATTGCTGGCAAAACAACCTCTCCTTTACTGAAATTTTCTGTCAGTTTACATGAATTACATGGCACATTGAAAAATATGGTTTATATACTATTTTATATTTGGTTTGGTTTTGATTTGAGTTCAACATAAACATTTGTACAATTGCTTTACGATACACATAGTAATTCTGTACACACTAGCTTTGCCCAACTTCTTTCATCTAGTGTGGGGGATAATGAGAAATGAAACCTTAAATCAAGAGAGCACAAGATTGGAGAGGGCTGCTATACATTATTGTCAATTTTGCTTTCTTCGAATCATCTTCTGTTAAAGAAAAGGTTTATTAGTAAAAAGGGGCTGAGTGATAAAACAATGACATCACTTCATCACGTTCTTCCTTTCTTTTCATTTGAGGTACTTATCTTCCCCACTGAATTTTTTTAAAGATTGTGCTCTTTCTCACAAGTGCTACTAATCCCAAATTGTAATATATTATATTTGGGCAACTGCAGTAAGAGAATTGTTCTAAACCAGAGAATAGTTTTGTGACTGTCTCTCAATTTTCCATTTTCCTAACTGAAAGAGAAAATAGCAGTAATTGATAGCTAAAGTTGTACAAAGTGTACAGTTTTCATTTCAAAATCATAAAAAATGCTGCAGATGATCGTGTATACCATACTTTATAACCTAAAAGCCAACATCTACTATTATGCTTTGAATGATCTCCCAAGTGATTTAGTGCATTAGTGAAACAACACTAAAATAATACAGGCTCTTCAGACATATAAATTCTACATATACATTCAAACTCTTACCAGATACCACTGTTGGTTCCACATTGGGTCATTGAATAGATTTTCTGCTGAGTCTCCTAATACTGAACGCCTAGTTCGTTTTTTTTCATACTGTTGTTCTGCCCAAGTCACCTAAAATAGCATTGGATAGATAAAGAGATGTCTAGATAAGAAGACAAATACTGGAGTTTCTTGTATCTATAAATATGCACCGAAGTCTTGTTTATTCAATGTTTTCAAAGGAACTCAGAGCATTATTTTTAGAATCACAGTCTTTCTGTAAAACAACATATGCTAATTGAACATTGTTACAGCTAAGAACAGCTTCAGACTCTCATGCCTGGGTTGTGGATGAGATGAAGGTAGTATCATGATGGTATGGCAGAATAAAGATGTTGCCAAGGGCAAATTATACCATAATAACATGCAAGTAGTGAGAAGTTCAGATCTAAGTTAGCACTTTCTGCAGTATTATGAGAAAGAGAATTGTTCTAAAACAATTGAGGATATAAAAATAAATGAATTTAGGGTCTTGACCGAAACATCCACACTCATGACAAATCAGCTGGTTAGAATATCGCCTGGATATCCTCTGAATTTCCTTTGGTTTTCCATATTTAGTGTGAATGTTCTCTCACTGCATGACTTTATAATCTGAAGGTCAACTAGCTTTAACTCTGTTAAACATCCAGGAATACAGTATGGAGCAGATGGCTCCCAATCTCCTCCCTTGCCTTGTTCACTCTATATTTAACAAATAATAACTTTTTCCAGTTTAATCTTTAGGCAATTTTGGACATTTGGATACTGATGCATGTGCTACAGCAGAGGTGAGCAATCTTCAGGGGCTCTGGGGTCGTACCATGATTTTTTGCCTTACCTGATCACCCTATGGAACAACGCCATTAACATTACTAAATGGGTGAGTCTAAAATTTGGGGGCCTTTTGAGGGGCAATTTGGGGAGTTTAATAGCCACTTCTTATAACCCCTACCTCCTTCAGTGCAAAAAATGGGTCTGAAAATTTCATGCCCATTCATGTAGGTATGTGGCCCATGAGCCATATGTTGTATGCCCCTCGGCTATGGGATGGACATACAACCCTTCATTCTCATCTTTGTCTTAATGCGAATTCACTTGAATATTCACTTGCATATTCATATATAGATATGAATGATGGTTGAACAACTCACAGAGTACTGCTGGCCATACTTCAGTGTCAGTGTATGACACTGGTTCCATTCCATGGTTCATCTTTCATCTTCATCCGAGAGGGTAAGAGTGAAATATCAACCTATACTTGCTAAACTGTAAGTATTTAATATGACCAAAAAATATAAATCACTACAATACACACATATGTAAAAAGGGAAAACTGGAAGTAACAAAAGAAAGACTATACAGATGCAATGACAATTCTGTGAGGGCTTTCTATTGAGCCTTTCTCAAAAGTAATCTTTATGCCCATGTACAGAGATATAAATCAAGCCTATGAATGTCTGGTCCATAGTGAGTGAGTTCAAATACTATAGGATGCCAAAACTGCAGCGGAAATAATCTAGAAACTCATTCCGAAACAGACATGTTTCACACAGGTGTCCACTGCTAGCTTCACTGAGAACGAATAATGACAACATGCATACAGTCACATCACAACAAAAACACCAGTCGTTTGTAGTTGTATCCCAGCATCGTATGCAAGTACATAAGTCACGGGATTTGTAACTGCTTGCCCTCCCCTCACTCCCCCTGTGGATGCTTGTGGTGTTTTCTTGACTACTTCAATGGCTTGTTATGGCTTTCTTAAGCTAATGTATACAATCAAAACATATATTCTTGGACACATGCCTGATAAAACAATTAAGACATTTCCCCTTTTTGTAGTGGTTCATGCTTGTTAGTCGCATTAAATACCTATGTTTTGATAAGGCGTTTTGTGCAGTACAGACTGGCATTTCACTCTGCTTCCATCTGAGTGATGGAGATCAGAGATGCTTATTCCTCTTTTTTGTTGTCACTTTCTGACACCTTCTCCACACATGACGTAGGAGCACGTGGGCCCTACAGGGCAGCAGTGTGACTTTGTTCAGGACATTCTATGAATTTAACTATTGAGGAATGATTCCAAGGCCACAACATCAGGCAGAGCAGCTGCCTAGATAGCAGATTTTTGATACTATGAGAAGTAACAAATAGTTAATTATTACTTTAACTTGATTCCTCAGCCATAGGTATTGTTTGTTCCATGATTTTTAGAGATCAGGCACCATTTGGTCCTCCAATTTGGGGCAACAAAATGTCTTATCCCTGAGTGCCTCACAAATTGCTGGGGTACGCACAAAATATCCTCTTCATACTTGTGTGTCATGAAATTTACACAGGCAGTTATCTCTCTTATGAACAAGGCTCATTGGATTTTTTTCTCGCTGTGAGAACCTGTTTGGCCTCTGTCCGTATGAATGAGGAAACAATTTACAATGCTGAGTTGGAAGACATATCCTATACTAGAAGCAGAGTTGTTCTTTGCAGTTTGTATGTTCTCAGCACGAGACCGTAACTGCATGTGATTGCAAACAAGTCACATTCAGTAAGCTCTTACTATGAGGTCATAACTAATAATAGAATAAGTACATCAGTGAGAAAGATACTTCAGTCTGATTAATGGAGCATGTCTGTATTTATTTTTATTTATTTATTTATTTATTAAATTTTTCAGCTGCCCATCTCCCCCCAATGGGGGAACTCTGGGCGATTCACAACAAACATTAAAAACATAA